CACAGTAGCATACAGTCAGACTGCAGTGGTTACCAGGACCAGATGGGGACTGCTGAAAAGTGAGGGCTGCTTGTCAAGAGCTGAGACCTCTTCACAGCCAGCCTAGAACATCCAGAGGGACACATGTCTCACGCTCACGCTCACCCTCACCCTCACCCTCACCCGACTGTGCTGGTGGCTCCCAGCGATTGAACCAAACCTTAAACCCAAACAACAAGGTAGTCTTAATACAGCCGTATGGGTGGGATGATGAATTACCTTGTCCCTGGCAAGTGGTTTGCATGCAGCTGCTAACCTAAAGGTTGGTGGTTCAAACCCACCCAGTGGTTCCTCAAAAGAAAGACCTGGTGACCTGCTTCTGTAAAGATCACAGTCCAGAAAACACCATGGAGAAGTTCCACTCAGTAACACAGGGTCTCACCAGAGTCGGAATGACTCAGTGGCAATGGGTTTTATTTATTTACTTAATTTTATTTTTTATTGTGATTTGGGTGAAAATTTAAAGAACAAATTCACTTTCCATACAGCAGTTCACATGCACTTTGTCTCATGACAGTGGCCACAATTTACCCCAATGCAACAGCTCCCGTCCCACTTCCTCCCGACAGTCACCTCTTCCCTGTGCCCATCCCTCCATGCCCTCCTGAGCGGCAGTAGGTTTTAAATTGTTTTTATTGTTTATGGGTAGATCGACCTCCTGGGATACAGAGGTGAACTGTGCATTGTCAGGTTCTCAAAGTTGTGTTCTCTGTGCTTTGAAGATTTCACTGCTTCTGAAAAGAGTGTTTTTTTTTTTTTTTCCCCTCCATAAGTTTAGTGCAAACTCATGACAGCAAAACCTGACCTGAACTAATGGGAGGCTATTAATAGCCTTTATTTCTTCCACTTAGTTAGATAGTCATTCATTTGGCTGAAGAAATGTTAATGAGTTTGAGGATGAGGTTATAGCCCAGACCCTGCTGGGGGGTGTTGTAAAATAACACAGTGTATGCACTGATCAGCTGTCTAAAAATGTGCACATTGTGGAAACACTCCCAGCCCCCAGGATATCAGGTAAGGTGCCACGGGGCTGTGTGAGGTCATCTTCACTGAGTGATGCACATGCCTTTTTGTAAACTGGAGTCCCCGGGTGGTGCGAACAGTTAAGCCCTCAGCTACTAACCAAAAGATTGGTTACTTGAATCCACCCAGTGTTGCTTCACAACTGGACCAATAAGCAATATCATGATCAGTGGAGAAAAGATTGAAGTTGTCAGGGATTTCATTTTACTGGGATCCACAATCAACACCAATGGAAGCAGCAGTCAAGAAATCAGACGTCGTATTGCACTGGGCACATCTGCTGCCAAAGACCTCTTTAAAGTATTAAGAAACAGAGATGTTACTTTGAAGACTATGGTGCTCCTGCCTCAAGCCATGGTACTTTGATTTGTTTCATATGCATGTGAAAGCTGGACAATGAGGAAGGAAGACTGAAGAAGAGTTGATGCCTGTGAATTATGGTGTTGGCAAAGAATGCAGAAAGTACCACGGCCTGGCAGAAGAACTAACACATCTGTCCTGGAAGAAGTGCAACCGGAATGCTCCTTGGAAGCGAGAATGGGCAGACTTCGTCTCACCTACTTTGGTCATGTTGTCAGAAGAGACCATTCCCTGGAGAAGGATATCATGCTTGGTAAAGTGGAGGGTCGACGAAGGAGGGGGAGGCCTTCAACGAGATGGATTGACACTGTGGCTGCAGTGATGGGCTCAGGTACTGCAAGGATTGTGAGGTGGGTTCAGGAACAGGCAGTGTTTTGTTCTGTTGTACACAGGGTCACTATGAGTCGGAGCCGACTTGACGCCACCTAACAACAACAGTGGGGCCTCAGCAGAAAGACCGGGTTATCTCCTTCCCAAGATCAGCTCTTGGGAACCCTATGGAGCACAGTTCTGTTCTGACCCACATAGGGGCACCATGAGTCAGAACTGACTCCATGGCAACTGCTTTTGGTTTTAGGTCAATGAACTCATTTAATCCTTATCACGTTCTGTAAGGAGGAGATTATTGTTGCCCACTATTTTTCAGTTGAAGAAACTGAGGCACAGAGAGGTGAAGTGATTTGGCCAAGGTCACACAGCCAGGAAGAGGCAAGGATGGGCTTCACACCCATGGGTCCCAGCTCTGTAGCCCATGGCCTTAACTATGGTCCTGTATTGTGCCCCAAGGCTTGACGTTAACGTCTGACTCTTGTTTTCCAGAATACTACGTGGATCCGAGACCACGAGGACAGTGGTTCTGTACATTTGGGGACCCCAGGTCCATCCAGTGGGGGCCTGGCTTCCCAGAGTGGGGACAACTCCAGTGACCAAGGTGAGCTTGAGAGACAGAGGAGAAACATAGCTGTCAGTCTTAGGATTGAAGTTAGACTGGAAGTAGGACTTCCAGAGGGGCAAGGAAGGATCAGGTGTGCAGTGGTGTCTGGGTTGAGGGTTTGGGGCTCCTAGGTCCCACTGCCTCTCAGTGTCCACAGACACAGCATGCCTGTCCCCCTCAGGAGATGGGCTGGATACAAGCATGGCTTCTCCCAGCTCTGGGGGAGAGGACGAGGAGTTGGACCAGGAGAGGAGGCGGAATAAGAAGAGAGGGATCTTCCCCAAGGTGGCCACCAACATCATGAGAGCCTGGTTGTTCCAGCATCTCTCGGTGAGAGCCCTGTGACCCTGGGATGTGGTGGGCAAGGAGAGGTGGAGAAGGGTGGGCACGTGAGACGGAGCTCAAGAGACACCCAGAGATGGGAAACTGAGTTGGGGGGTTGATAATAGAGGATGAGGACTGATAAGATCAAACATCAGGGAGTGCTTCCTGTGTGCCAGGGGTTGTTTTCATTTTTATTTTTTTTGATGAAGGTATTAAACAGCGAAACATCATACACCTGTTTGACTGTTTGTACATTTACAGTTCACTGACCTGTGCTCCACGCTCCAGGCCGTGCTCTTTATCACTGTCCTTCCCAAGTTGTTTCATTAATACAAACTCACTGTCTCCTAAGCTTCTCATCTAACCTTTCAAGTGGCCGGTGTCAATTTCATCTCACACACACTTCTAAAAAGCATAATGGTTGGAACAGGCATTCTTTACTAATTAAAATAAACTATATTTTATATTTCCTCAGAAGGAAGGTTGGGCAATCTACTTCCGTAGTGACTGCCTTAGAAACCCAAGGAGGGGTTGCTATGAGTCAGGTCTGACTTGACAGCAAATAACAACAACAACAACAAATGCACACACACACACACACACACATATATACACGGGAGCTCTGGTAGCATAGTGGCTAAGACACCTGACTGCTAACCAGAAGGTTGGCAGTTCAAACCCACCAGCCACTCCTCGGAAGGAAGGTTGGGCAATCCTACTTCCGTAGTGATACTGCCTCAGAAACCCAAGGAGGGGTCGCTATGAGTCGGGTCCGACTCAACAGCACATAACAACAACAACAACAACATATATACACACACACACACACACAACACAAACACATAAATGCATGAATATATACACACATATATATACATAGAAGGAAGATGGGGCAATCTACTTCCATAGTGATACCGCCTTGGAAACCCCAGGAGGGGTTGCTATGAGTTGGATCTGACTCAACGGCAGTGAGTTTGGTTTTTGGTTTACACACACACACACACACGTGTGTGTATATTGATACGAAGACGACTTCAGGGGATGGTTTTGGTTTAAGGTTTAAAGCTTAAAGATTATCTCAGGGAAGTGGTTCAGGGACTCATCCAGCAGCCTCAGTGCCCCCAGAAAATCTGGATTCCATGAGAATTTGAAATTATGTTCTACATTTTCCCCACTTTTGGTCAGAATTCTACAGAATCTTTGGTCAAAATGTTGAGTAGCGGTAGCTGGCACCATCCATTTCTTCTGGTCTCATGGCAAAGGAGGCAGTTGGTCGTGGAGGCAGTTGTTCAAGGAGACAGTTGGTCGCAGCTTCCAGTTTCTGTTCCAATTTCTGACCCTCCTTCTTCCTCTGCTGCCCCAGGCCTGTAGAGACCAGTTGTCGCACTGTCTAAGTTCACCTGTTTACCATCTGTTTAACTTGTTCAGCTCTCTCTATAGTCTCTCCACCCATCCATCCACCTTCCGTCCAACCATGACCCACCCACTCACCACCCATCCAAACATACTCTGTAATGGAGGGGCTGTGACTATCTCCTTTTTGCTTGTGAAGACACCGAGAACAGAGAGGTCAGGGGATTTGCCCAAGGTCACATAGCCAGAAATAAGCTCAAACACAGCAGTGTGGTCCTAAGCTCTTCACCACACTGCCTCAGAGAAACTGGAAAATAGAGACATACAGACAGGGACAGACTGAAACATAGAGACAAGAGAAGTATGGTGAAGAGTGAAACAGAACAAGACAGAGAAGGACAGGAGTCACCGAGGGGCCGAGACCGAGAGAAAAGCAGAAACACAGAGGCAGAGAGGGACCGAATCAGAGAGAAATATACAAACACAGAGATACAGGGAGAGGCTGAAACAGGGACAGAGACACACAGAAAGATACGGAAGCAAACCCTCCATCAAGTTGATCCCAACTCCTCCCTGTGCCCCTACAAGACAGAATAGAACTGCCCCATAGAGTTTCCAAGGCTGTCAATCTTTGTGGAAGCAGTCAACCTCCTCTTTCTCCAGCTGGGCAGAGGTGGGTTAGAACCACTGACCTTTTGGTTAGCAGCTGAATGCTTTAACCACTGGGCCACCAGAGCTCCTTCAGAAAGATACAGGGAAAGGCTGAAACACAGAGACAGACAGAGGGACAGAAAGAGGGAGGGAGGGAGAGAGAGACAGACACAGAGAAATTAGAGAGAGAGCTGCCAGAAAGAAAGAAACCGGACAGGGAGAGGCTGAAACAGAGACAGAGGGAGACATGCAGAGACAGACAGGGAGACAGAGAAGGGGACAGAGAGAGAGAAGGCGGAGGAGGAAGAGAGACGGAAACAGATTCAGGAGCTGGGAGTGGAATGTGCGCGCCCGTCTTGATGGGGAGACGCTTGGAGAGGGATAGGGGAGGAACGGGCCAGGCGGCCCCGGCTTCCACTCAGCCGAGCGGCGGAAGCCCCCTCCCCAGCAAGTTCCCCGGCGAGGGCCTCCAATTAGCCTCTAATTGCTAGACGAGGCGGGGCGCTGCGGGAGTAATTGCCCAGAGCCGGCGGCGCTTCGCCTCCGCTGGGCCCTGGGGACCACAGTCCTGCCCCACCTCGCTGGCTCCCCGGCCCTGCCACAGCCTGGAGGCGCCGTCCCCGGGAACCTGGCGGGCCTTGGGGACCAGGCGACGGGCGGGCAAGCAGGATGACCCTTGCTGGTGGCCACAGCACCCGTATCCCTCGGAGGAGCAGAAGAAACAGTTGGCGCAGGACACCGGGCTCACCATCCTGCAGGTTAACAACTGGTGAGTGACGGGGAGGGAGGGCGCTGTCCGCGGTGCTGAAGACGGGCCGGCCGCCCCTCGGAGCCCCTACTCCCCGGCGCCTGCTTGTCCTGGCCTCTCCTCCCAGCTCTGTCTGTCTACCTGGGCTCATCTCTGCCCATGCCCCATCTTTCTTTACATCCCCCTCTGTCTCCATGACGCCCACCCAGGTTCATTAACGCCCGGAGACGAATAGTACAGCCCATGATCGATCAATCCAACCGTACAGGTACAAGGAGAAGGTGGGAACGGAAAGCCTGGGTCCTCTCAGGGAGAGTCAAAGCCAGAACCCAGGCATCTTGGGGCTCAGTCTGCACCCCTTTATCCCCTCCACAGGGCAGGCTGCAGCCTTCAGCCCCGAAGGCCAGCCCGTGGGGGGCTACACAGAGACTCAGTCACACATGACCTCCAGGCCGCCAGGTAAAGCCCCATCCCCTAGGATAAGCCACGCCCATGGCACGGTAGGCCCCACCTCCAAACCAAGTTGCTCCGCCCTCTGGGATTAAGTTCATGAATAATGCAGCACCCTCATTTGCATACCAGGGGAGCAGAAGATGTAGAGGCAGATTTCCTGGTCTCCACTTTTTCTTGCATCCTTCACCTCTTCAGGCTCCACCTCCCACATTGGAAGGCTCCTCCCTGGTGGCTCAGTGGTGGGATTCTCGCCTTCCATGAGGGAGAGTTGAGTTCGAGTCTTGGATGGCACACCTCTTAGGCAGCCACCACCACACCAATAGAGGCTTGTGTATTGCTGTGATGGTGAACAGGTTTCACCGGAGCCGACAGATGAAGCCAGGGGAAACCCTATGGAGGACAGGAGTCCAAACCGATCCACAGTGGCACACGGGCCCAGGGACAGGCAACGTTTTGTTTCCTTGTGCCTGGAATTGCTATGGGTCAGGGCCAACATGATGGTAGCTAACACCAACCCCTTTGGGATGCCTCAGTTATCAAAGGATGGGGCAGGACTTAGAGGTGGATGGGGCTGTCTGGTGAAGACCCACTATGCCTTCTATGGATGAAAATAACTTTGTTTTCCAGGATCAATGGGAATGAGTTTGAACTTAGAAGGAGAATGGCATTATCTCTAGCAGGTGGATTCAAGATGTGTGTGAGTGTCCACGGTCTTGGGGAGATGGTTGGGGCTTAGGGTAACTCTCAAACCTTCCATGTTCCAATAGTGGGCCCATGTTGAGGAAGACAGGGCAAGGTCCACCAAGACTTTGTGAGAAGATTCTTCATCCATTCACCCATCCATCCACTCACTCCTCCATCCAGATGTTTATTCACCTACCAGGCAGCCACGCCCCTCCGCACACCAGCCAGCCACATCCCTTCTGCCCACTAGCCAGTCACGCCCTCCGCCCACCAGCTTGCCATGCCCCCTCCGCCCACCAGCCTGCCAAGCATACTTGTACACACCCCTGCCCCCACTTCTACACTAATCCATCCACCACCACACATCCATTCATCCATCCACCTACCCACCCATACATTCCCCTGTTTATCTGTGCATTCACCCACCTACCTACCCACCCAAACCTCCACCTGTCCAAACATGCACTCAATCCTCATTCCATTCCAGGGCCTGACATGCATCAAGGAGGGTCCTCCTCTTGAGAAGCTTCTGGTCTGTGGGGAAAGAGTCATCAGAAACCGTGCAGTGGCTGAAACAATAAAACCTAGCTTACCCACGGTAGGGAGTCAGCACCTATCTGTGGGGCATCAGGGAAGACTTTCTGGAGGAAGTGACCTCTAAGTAGGGGCATTGAAGGATGAATAGGAGTCTCTCAGTTAGAAGAGAGGGAGAGGGTAGCGAGGTGCATTCTAATACTCTTCCAAGTCTTGAGACTTTTCTCCAGCCTGGCATTGTGGTCACATTTTTTTAGGGCATCTTTCTTGGTCTTTACAACAACCCCACAAAGAGAGAACATTATTATTTTCATTTTGCAGATGATAAAACTGGAGCTTGGAAAGTCAGAGGGAACAGCACATGTACAGGCTCAGGGCTGAGAGGCACCTTGGGGTTTTCAAAGCAAAGATAAGATCTTGACGCTCACTGAAAACTTGTGGCTCCCTGGAATCTGCTGGAGAAAGTCCAAACTCCTTAGTTTAGCATCTCTTCATTCATTCATTCAACACGCGTTCTCGGAGCCCTTCAGTGTGAGGCCCTGTGCTGAGTGGTGCTGGGAGGGACCCCGTGGTGACCAAGGCAACCAAGGTCTGCCCTCGTGGGGCTCACAGACCAGTGGAGAAGACAGATCCATCCGCAGACAGTGATGACCCTGAGCGGGCAGGGATGAGGCTGGGGACCCCAGAGAGGATGTCTAACTCGCCTGAGGCAGGGAGGGCTTCCTGGAGGAGAAGGAGGCCTCTGATCCAGACTAGAGAATTCAGGGAGGGCTTCCTGGAGGAGAGGACATTGTAGCTGAGACCAGAAGAGTGGGCGGAGTGAGGCAGGAAAAGAATAGCAAGCCGAGGGAACAGCATACACAAAGGCCCAGAGTACTTAGCAATCACATGCCTGTGAGACATGCCTGACACATACAAGGGAGGGAGGCCTTGGGCTGGGCCAAGGCGGCTGGGTGAGGTGGGTTAGTGAAAGGCTGGAGAGACAGGAGAGTGGAGACCTGGCGCAGGGCTTCGCGATGTAGGAGGGTGCTGGACACCTGGGCTGGGGAAAGAGGGGTTCGTGCAGGGCGTGGTGGGCAGATGGGGGCTCAGCTGCCCAGTGACCAGGCGTTGTGACTGACAAGGCCTGGTCTGAGGGCCAGGTGAGCACTGGGGCCAGGAACTACGAGCTGCTCATCAGCCGACCCCCAGCGGCTGCCTTTCCTCTCCCCCACTTCTGTCTTTCCCTTTCCTATCTCTCCCTCTCCCTCTGTCTGTCTGTCTGTCTGTCTCTGTAGGCCTCATTCTTTCTTTCTACATCTTCATCACTGATAATTCTCTTTCTCTCTTGAAATAGTATTTGGGGAAGTATATATAGGGAGGTTAAACCCTTGGCTGCTCACCAGAAGGTTGGCGGTTCAAACCCACTGGCAGCTCTGCGAAAAGCCTGCTAATCTATGCCCACAAAAATTTCAGCCTAGATAATTGTACGCGGCGGTTCAACTCTGTCATGTGGGGTCGCTGTGAGCTGGAATCGCCTCAGTGGTACATTACAACAACAACGAAGCATAGATAACATATAATTAATTAGCGTTTGAGGGCACTGAGGTTCATGGTGGTGGAATGATCTGGAAAGCTTGAATGTCACCCGTGTCACTCGGTTGGACCTGGAGGAATGGCTGAGATGGCAGATGCTTTGCTGGGTATGTTTTATTTATTTTGTGATTTGGGTGAAGTTAGGTATGTTTTCAGCCCAGTAAAAAAATCTTTGACATTTGCCATTTTAACCATTTTAAGTGTATGATTCAGTGTCATGAATCACATACACCAAGGTATTTGACTGCTAACCAGAAGGTTGGTGGTTCAAACCCACCAGCCACTCCATGGAAGAAAGCTCAGGCAATGTACTTCCATAAAGATTTACTGTCTTGGAAACCCAGTGGGGGCCGCTATGAGTCAGAATTGACTCCACGGCAGTGGGTTTGCTTTGGGCTTTGCTTCTGTGAAGATTGACAGCCTTGGAAACCCTGTGGGGCAGTTCCACTCTGTCCTCTAGGGGCGCTGTGGGTCAGAATGGACTCCAGGCAGTGGGTGTGCTTTTTACCATATTGTGCAGCCATCACCATGAATTTCTAGAACTTTTTCATCCCCAAACAGAACCCTGTGCCCAGTAAGCAGAATATCTCCTTCTCCCTTCTGTCCCCAGCCCTGGTACCCTCCACTCTCTCTGGGTTTCACTTCTGTCCCATCTTTCTCTCTCTCGTCTTGTCTTTCTGTGTCTGTGTCACACATTGTGTGTTGATTCTGTCTCTCCCTTGGCCTCTTGGTGGGTCCCTGTCCCTCTCTGTCTCTCCCTCTGTGGCTGACAGTCCCACCCCTTTCACTTTTCCTAGGTTGTTCTGTCCACTTGGCCCTCACTGTGGGGCTGGTGGGGACCTCTCAGAGGGCTGCTGTGGGGTCAATCTCGTCCCTAACTCCTGACTCAGCCTCCCGTCCCTTCTCCACAGACTCTAGCCTCTGGACTGTGACTCCTAGGCTCACACCTGGTCCCAGTGCCCACCTGGTCCTCTGGCTTCAAGACCCCACCTCTGAAGGCCCTCCCCCACAATCAACGCCTACCTCCCCGGGGGCCCTGCTGGGACACATGGGCCTGAGCGCTCCTAGAGGGCCTCTCAAGGACAAAGACGGGGCCTCCAGCCTCATGCCCTGCTTCTGCCCTCACCTCTGCTGGCCCAAGCTGAGATCCGGGCCTGCGTCTTCAGAAAATGGTGGCTGAAGCCGCCCACCTCCAGGACAGAGAAGGGGGTGGGGTAGGCTGGGCTGTCACGGAAGGAGGGCCAGGATCCCACATTTTGGGGAAGTTCCCTTCACCCTCCCCCCCACTCCCCTTCTCTGTCCCCACCTCCTTTCTGTGACGTCTTCTAGTCTTTTTTTTTTTTTTT